TGCTGATGACACTGTGCTTATGGGAGATTCTAAAGAAAACTTGCAAAGGTTAGTAGACAAGTTTGGGAGTGTGTGTAAAGGTAGAAAGTTGAAAGTGAACATAGAAAAGAGTTAGATAAAGAAAAATTGGATATCAAATTGGATAGTAGTAGTATGGAAGAAGTGAATTTTTAGATAATTGGGAGTTGACGTGTCAGTGGTTGGATTTATGAAGCATGAGGTTAACCACAGAATTGATGAAGGAAAAAAAGTCGAGTGATGCATTGAGGTATATGTGTAGACAAAAAACATTATCTATGGAGGCAAAGAAGGAAATGTATGAAAGTGTAGTGGTAACAACACTCTTACATGGGTGTGAAGCTTGGGTTGTAAATGCTGCACCGAGGAGGCGGTTAGAGGCAGTGGAGATATCCTGTCTAAGGGCAATGTGTGGTGTAAATATTATGCAGAGAATTCAGAGTATGGAAATTAGGAGAAGGTGTGAAGTTAATAAAAGTATTACTCAGAGGGCTGAAGAGGGGTTGTTGAGGCGGTTTGGTCAAAGTAGAATGGCATGCCGAGTGTATAAATCTGTAGGGGAAGGAAGGCAGGGTAGGGATCGTCCTCAAAAAAGTTGGAGGGAGGCAGTAAAGGACGTTTTGTTCGAGAGGTGCATGGACTTCCAGCAAGAATGCGTGAGCATGTTAGATAGGAGTGAATGGAGATGAATGGTATTTGGGACCTGATGAGCTGTTGGGGTGTGAGCAGGGTAATATTTAGTTAAGGGATTCAGGGAAACCGTTTTTTTTTTATAGCCGGACTTGAGTACTGGAAATGGGAAGTACAATGCATGCACTCTAAAGGAGGGGTTTGGGATACTGGCAGTTTGGAGGGATATGTTGTATATCTTTACACGTGTACGCTTCTAAACTGTTGTGTTCTGAGAACCTCTGCAAAAACAGTGATTATGTATTAGTGAGGTGAAAGTGTTGATGATGAAAGCACTTTCTTTTTGGTGGGAGATGGCCAACTTGTTAAAAAAAAAAAAAAAAAAAAAAAAAAAAAAAAAAAAAAAAAAAAAAAGCCCATGCACAGACTCCATAGGTGAGGTAGGAGTAAATGAGTGAGTGGTACAGAACAAGTAGAGCTGATTGCGGTACACAGTGCCTTATCTTCGATAGAACGACTACTGTCTTAGAGACTTTCTTAGAAATTTGCCGTATGTGTGTCTGAAATTTGAGACTGCTGTCAAGGTGGAGTCCCAAAAATTCACCCTCCATGAGTCTAGAAATGGTCAATCCATTTATCATTATGTTAAGTCGTACATTTGAAGCCCTTTTTCCAAACTGTATGAAGTAGGTTTTGTCTATATTAAGAGTAAGCTTGTTGGTCATCATCCAGGTAGATATATTCTGTAATTCAGCAGGTAGTGTTAGTGTCAGTGGATTTGGGTGAGAGAAGACGTAAGTAGTGTCATCTGCAAATAATATGGGTTTGAGGAATTTAGATGCATTTGGTAGATCATTGATGTAAATAAGAAAGAAAAGTGGGCCAAGGACACTACCTTGTGGGACACCAACAGTGGCTAGTTGTGTGGTAGAGTTAGCTCCATTTGTGTATACATACTGGTTGCTGTTGCTAAGGTATGACTTTAGGTAGTTGAGAGAGTGCCCTCTTATTCCATAATGAGATAACTTTAGGTGCAGTAAGTCACGATCAACTGTATCAAAAGCTTTTCGTAGATCGATGAAGATTCCCAGAGGGCGTTTTTTTTTCAAGTGCCGTATATATTATTTCTAGCAAGTGTATTATAGCATCGCTCGTGCTTTTTTTCGGCCTGAATCCAAATTGACTGGGGTTGAGTATGTTGATGGAGACTAGGTAGGAAAAGACTTGTTTATGAATTAATTTTTTCAAGATTTTAGAAAGTAGAGGTAAGCTAGATATAAGTTTGTAGATGTTCAGGTCAGTTGGATCACCTCCTTTGTGGATCAGGGTGACCCTTGCTATTTTGAGAATTGATGGGAAGGTGGAGGATTCAATGGAATTGTTAAAGAGAATTGCAATAATTGGTGACAGTACATGAGAAGCTTTTTTTATACATAAAAGATGGTAAGTTACTTAGGTCTCCTGCCTTGTTCTTAAGTGTTTTGATGATGAGGGAGATTTCAGTTGGGTTAGCTGGTGATAAAAATTGAGTATTTGGGTAGCTGACAGTGAGGTAGTCTTTTGGTTGAGTGTTTGAGCTTGGGATTCTGCTCACTAGATTTTTTCCTATGGCCGAGAAGAAGACATTAAGTTTGTTGGCAGTATCAGTTGGTTGGAGGAGGGGTTCATCTAGTTTTGTTAGGTTGATTATTCTGTTTTTGGATATCTTTTTAGTTCCTAGAATTTCAGATAAGGTTTTCCAGGTCTTTTTCATATCACCTTTTATGCTACATAATCTATTTTCATAATACAGTTTTTTCTGACCTTATCAGGCTGGTTAGCATTGATGAGTAGCGTTTTGTCTGGTCCCTAGGTATTAGCCCAGATCTGTACTGCTTTTCATATAGGTTTTTTTTATTAATGGATTTGAGGATGCTGTTTGTAAGCCAGGGGCCGTTATGTCTCTTAGCTATGATCTGCTTATTTTTTTTAGGGCAATGCAAGTTATAGGGCCTATATGGCACTACGTAAGGTTGTTTGGGGACTTGGTACCGAGAGAACAATGCTAATACGGTTTTTAAGTGGTGCACTTCCCTGTAAATATCTTATCTTTATTAGACAAAAAAATAAAGTTTGTAAGTTGTATGACTGTTACAAAATATCTGCCCTTGGCTCCCACACAGATCCCAAAATATTTGGAATATTTCCAAAAGTGCACCATTAAAATTAAGAACAATCACTCTTTTACAATTCCTGTGAATATTATTTCATTTAATTCAATAGTAAATCCTCTATGGAGTAAACTAAGTCAATAAGTTACTTCCGAGACATTCGCCTGGAATGCAGGCTGGCCACCTGCCTCAGGGAAAAAAAAAAATTTCTGAGAAAATTGCTTATGTTTCAGTGTTTTTCTTAAGAAACTAGTATTCTAGTGCAGTTAGCTTCACTAAAACTCCATTTTTCTCTTACTCGAGGCCAAAGAATATATTATAGGAAGGAGGGGAAAAGATTTTATGTGCGATATGGCTGGTAGACCCTCCCAATATTATGGCCTATTTAATTCATTCAAGAGTATATAACAAGTTTCTATGCTATTTATAGTGTTTATTTCACATTAGATCAATTGTGATAGAAAAATAAGCCGTAGAGTTGATATTAGCTTATATTTAAGTATTTTCTCCTGCCTCTCTCAACAGCGGGAATTCCTACCGCCCACTCTCATACAATGCCAAATCGTCAATTATTGTATTAGAAAGAATAATACAAGGAATAGCCCCAAAAAAACGGAAAAAATTCCTAAAAAATTTACACGATGTGAGCAGTCATGCTGATAGCAGCAGTGTCACCATACACGATATAAATGACTGTAATTCCTTGTAGGAACGTCGAAGAACATTGATTCTTGTACCATTGTGTTGTCAAAGAGTTAAGCTATTTTTCTATATGATTAACTCAGTTTCCATAATTTTTCAATATTTTTTTTCTCGCTTGCGCGCCATGCATGTGAGGTTGCCCCTTACTGAGGGGTCTCTTGGTCCTGACCAAAGTGCCATTGGTAGGTAAAAAGACTATGTTGTCAATACATGCCACTTCTCTCTAGCCACCCATGAGACTTCTTGAGACACAAGCCTCATTTTTTCCAGAGTTCTCTTATGAATTTGCCTAAAGGGTAATAAATTTTATTGGTTTATTTCAAGGAAAAAGTTAATCTTATTCTTGTCAAGGGTAGTGTTTTTGCCATGCTGATATCCTATCTTCATAAGGGCTGTCTTAGTGATGCTGTACTCTGGATGTCCAGAACTGATTAGGGTGATAAGATTAAAGGATGGCAGAAGCAGAAAACTCCAGACTGAGGACCCTTGAAGAAATGGCTGCCTCTCTTAACACTCTTTCTATACCCTTACCCAGCAATGAGCACATTAAATGTGATAATGGCCTACTGGATAATGCAACTGTATGTGCAAGTATTCATCAGAGGGCCTGTCAACAGCCACAAGACTAAAAGGGTGTTACATCAATGATGCCTTCATGATCCTTGCCAAATATGATAAAAAATGAGCCCTTAGTTTTACCTTTATCCACACACCAATGATGAGTAACTTTCCAATGGGCCATAGTTCCAGAGGTAAGATCAACTTGGAGAGAAGAGGAAACAAGAAGTACACATCTCTCTAGGCCTGGCAAACACTGGAGCAGGATTTTACCTCTGCAGCCATGGTCATGGCCACCCTACACAGTCAGTGCTGACCGAAGCACTGATGAAAGCAATAATCTTTCCCACCACAAAAAAAAAGGAGTCTATCCTCATAAAGAAAAGATAGTCAGATATCTCACTCGAGAAAAAAAAAAAGTATTAAGTGGCACAGACAGTGTAGATAAGAAAACCTTCCTACCAGATCTGTAATAATAAAAGGACATGGTTGGAAATTACAAGGGAAACCATAGAAGTGAAATAAAGTGAGCAATGACATACTGGAAGCAGACTCCATATGGGGGTTCAGAAATATATGTGATAAGGGTATATAACATCATTAGTCAAAAGGCAGAACCAAGAGATCGAAGTCAATCCTGTAAACTCAAATAGGTAATTACAAGCAGGAGATAATAAATAAAAAATAAACAGTTATAGGAAAGAAAAGAAAGAATGCTGTTCAGGCATATATATATAATAGTAACATGAAAAGGAGATGTTGCCCAAATTAAAATACCATACAGGAAATACATATATAAAATTAGGCTTTCAGTTACTATACATTAATTTAAAAACTATAACAGTGATAACTTCTATCAAAATGGTATATCTATACTGCAAGCTATAGCTGCTATATTATTTTATCTGCAACAATCATTAGTTTATAGGAGTGAAGACTTACCACTGTGGCACTACGAAAGATAATGGATCGGTCAGCACTACAGGACACCATCTGTAGAGCACCCTGGCTTTGATAAAATCTTACTGACGTTATAGCTGAAGAATGATCATCTAAAGTTTGCACAAAGCTGTAATCCTATAAATGATAAAATCTATCATCAGTACAATATACTACATAATATTATCAATGTTAAATATTTACAACAATCTAATAAGTTTAATATATAAAAGAATGCTGTTGTAGAAAAAAAAAAAAGACATAACTTCTTATTACATTGTTACAAGTATACATTTTTTTTTTTCCCAACAAGTCGGCCATCTCCCACCGAGGCAGGGTGACCCAAAAAGAAAGAAAATCCCCTTCAAAAAAATACTTTCATCATCATTCAACCCTTTCACCTCACTCACACAAAATCACTTTTTGCAGAGGCACTCAGATATGGCAGTTTAGAAGTTTAGAAGACCCAGTATGTGGACTCACTGTGTAACAATAACAACAGGTAAAAAGGTATACTCAAAATTACTTCTTCAAAACCAACCACTTTTACTGTAAAATATTCTCCTCCTCTCCAATGCCTGAGCCTCACTCTCCTCATCGAGACTCCTACAACTTTCAACAACTTATTATCTGTTTCACAAAACTGCAACCAAAACCATGTTGCTCTTCTATCCACCTCATGAAAATCTTTTCCAAAATGCATAAGTGCAGCAAACAGCTTATGTGCTTCAATACAAACCTGCTCTGCAAATGCTTTTCTTTCTAAATACACTGTTCTACTGTACTGCAATCATATTTTCTGAGTTTCCCATCACTCCTAATATTAATTCTTCCATGAACTTTACTAAATATACTAAAGCATTATTCCTTTATTATTCTTACACACTCATTCTCCCAACTGTTTCATTTCTTCTGAAGTTGTTACTATTATTAATGGGAAACCCATCCAAAAGCATTTCAACAAGTTATAACTTTTCACCAAATGTTACAGCTGCTCCTTTTTTAAAGTCTTTATTAATATTGTCAAGAAGCAATATTGTATGCTATGCATTTTTAATAAAAAATATAAAATTCCTTCAATACAGAACACATGCACAATTCTCACCTGGTCTACAGCAAACACATGAATCAGTCTATCACGAGATGCAGAGGCCAGAAACCTGTGACCAGTATCAGGACGGGAGTACTCTAAACTTAACACTTCTGCATCATGAGCTTCTATTTTACACAGTTCGTCAAGGAACTGCAACTCGTGTACTCTGACAAGAGAGAAGCATGTGTTAAAATTTAAATGAAAAGCAAAGAAAAGACATTTAACATGTAAGAAACCTAACATGGTATATAATGCTTCTTCCACTTTCCTCCTCACTTACTCTCCCCCCCTCCTCATTCCTCTCCCTCACCCTCTCCTTCAGTTAAATGATGTAGTCAAAGAAGATGTCAAACAGGTTGAGGTGACTCAATAGCTATTCTCATGTGGACATTTTAATGTGAATGAAGGAAATACTGCATTATGTAATTAGTCAGAAATAAACTTATTATTTGATTCACATCATGCATCAGCTGTGTCAGAGCATTCCATTTTTCACTTTTTCCAAGCAGTGAAACTCAAACATGGAGAAAAGCCATAAAAGAACTGAACTACAGTAATACACAATTTCACAAGTAGAAAGTGTGTATGTTGAAGATGAATATATAAATAATGTACTCTTTATTAATTGAAAAAACACTGCAAATCTCGACTGATGTACAAAGCCTCCAAATACAAACAACAATACTTAGCTCTTACAGCAAAAAATTAAGAAGCAACTTGTGATGAAAAAATAGCTATAGTTACATGCATCAATCACATTTTCCACCTAACCTGATGTTTCCTGCTCGATCTCCAGATGCCAGATGTTTACCATCAGGACTAACTCTAATGCATCTCACACCATTACGAGAATCATATGATGTGTCGTTTCTGTCTCCACCTTGGGGGCTGACATCCGTATCTTTGATGAATAGCAGCTCTGGATCCACATACAACGTTTTGAGGAGTTCCTAAGGAAAAACAAAAGCAGGCTGGCAAAAGGCCTAAAGCATACTGTAGCATACAAAAATAAAAAGGCACAATACTGTGACTGGAATATTACACAAGTAACCTGCACATAGAAGACTGGAACTTATGAAGATGTTTCAGTCCTATTTGGACTATTAACTAGACACATACAAGCTCCAAGGAAAGTGAGCCAGAATATATATGAGGGGGTGGGGACAGGAGGAATAGTACTGCTGTAGTAGTCAAGGGGAAGGGATGTGCAGCAGTGGTGGAAAAAGTGACGCAATAGTGATAGAGATGGCAATAAGAAGGTAGCAACAGTGCACCTACCATCCGACTTACAACTTGCTCGACATATGACTGCTCGACATACGACTACTCAACTTACAACCATGTTTTATATGCCAAATTTCTGGGAAATAAGTAACTGTTTGTGTTGTGCAGAGTGTTTATCCTAAACCTTACAGTATAAAATACAGTACTAACAGCATAAAAAGTAAAGTAAAAAATGAAATACCAAAATAAAACAATAAAATAAAGTCATTACAAAAATGTGATGTTGATATTCAGTAGTAAAGTTTGACTTACGTCCATTTTGACTTACGACCGGCTGGTCGGAACCAAGCTTGGTCGTAGGTCGGATGGTAGGTGTATTCCTTGACTGTAAGTCTTGGTATGGGGGAGTGTGATGGAAAAGTTCAACAGATAGGAGTAGCGAGCGAATATATGATGACGATAGTTTGATTGGCAGTCTGCTTGTTAAAGTAGGGACAGTGTCTAGCCATACCACGGGCGGGATTTGAACCCGCGGTCATTACGATTTCGTGAGTCATGTTGACAGCAGTGAGGGGACTTGAGCTAGAGTTCGTCATGGCCACGCTAGCTGGAGATTCGTCTGTAAAAACTTGCATTTGTGGTCACAGTGGTGCCTATGCTAACCTTCCTATGGTGTAGAAATATACCTAGTTGGACGAATCTTATTGTGGCTAGCTGGTCCAGTGGCTAACACGACGGTCTGGAGTTTTGAGACTCTCTGACCGCGGGTTCAAATCCCGCCCATGGTATGGTTTGTTTGCAATCGTGTCATTACCATTTTGTGAGTCAGTGTCTACCTCCTGCTATCCATTCCCCCTTTCTCCACACTGAAAAGTGATGTGTGGGACTCCGACCAAATTGATAATCACTTGACTTGCAGCTCCCAACACATCTTTAAGTAAAATGCCTCTGCTCTTGTTTTATTTGATATATTAGTTAAAAGCTTCACTTTTATCTAATCTTGAGACTTAGTTCATCTGCCTTGACGTTCATGTTTAAAAATCTTCGTCTTTAAATCCTCACCGTTCTTTTAAATACCTTACACTTATCATGGAGTGATTTATTGAGCAGTGGTTAACTTTTGCCTCTTTCTAGCTTGGTCTGCCAGCTAGGGTCATCTGGCAACTACAGAGACAGTTTGAAGGAGAGGAACCTAACCAGGTTAAGAGACCTCACCCATGATCTACGTACCTTATTGTAGCTACACCCAGGCAGCTATCCCTCATCTCTGCAGTCGTGAAAGACCTGCATTCCTATCATCTTGACGGACCATTCAAGGCTAGGTAATACTAACATAAGATCTTACAGGGCAGCAAAATTTGCAATAGCGTAATTTCGTCAATTTTCCATCAAATTTGGTACTTTTTGTTTTATTACCTTCAGAGAAATATTCTCTACCATTTCAAAAAGTTTCAAATTGGGGGTCTGGACCCTGAAAGGGTTAACCTATCATGCTTTTGTGGTCACTGGCCAATATAATACAATGAAAATTATTCATTATTTGAAAAGTAAAAAGATTTTGCCTCTTGGGAGGGCTTTAGAACATCCTCCCCCCCTTCCCCATTACCCCCACCCCCATGGCTGTTCCCAGTTACCTCACCATGTATACTGTATCATCACTTAACCTATCTTTATCTTTATGTGCATGATCCTTTATCTCAACCTCACTTTTCTGTCACCTTCCCCTTCTACAAGCAACCAATACTGTGTATTTACTTTATATTTGATAAGCCTGTGTAAAAGAAAATGTTAAATTAAATAAAATTCAGTTTCTATGTAGTGTTCCCATTTTACATACAGCATGACTTCATTACCTTTGGTAAAAATGTCCTTAAGAAAAACACTCATAAGATGTGATGTAGATACTATCAGCCTTTAAATAAATGTATGATAGTACACAGCTCAAATTATTTTATTTTTTCTTAAGAATTCAGAGAAATAATTTTTAGCCCTTTCACTGTCTCATTTCTAAATCTATATTATTGATGTCAGTCTCACTAACATTTCAAGCTCAGCACCCTTAAATATGATGTGAGCAGTAAATTTTGGGCTAGACATAGGAGAATGGGTCTGTCCAGTGAGTGTGAACAGTACTGTATACCTTTGTGTTTGGTTTACAATAGCAACTTTGAAGTGTTTTCCAGTACAGGACAGCCCTACTTTACAGTCCTTCGCTAATACAGACATCTTAAATTAGTATACCCAAGAATTTGTTCATATGGTTCCTGATTTGCTATTAAGGTGTCCGTGCACCACCCATCCACTCTCAGTTTTTTTACATCCTCCATGAGCTCCACGTCTCTCAATTATGTCTGAAAACTTTCCAAAGTTTCAAGTGTTTTAACGTAATTGTGTACCGTATATATATACTCATATTGTGTTACAATGACATCTAAGGGTAGTTGTGATAAAAAGAGGAGTCATAAGGCTCCCTTACCTTAAGTGCAAAGTTAGAAATGATTAAACTCAGTAACCAGGGTATGTCTATGGCTGTGATAGTACTGAGATACTATTGATAATTGCACTTATGTGTACCTGTACCTAAATAAACTTACACACTGTACTGGTGTGTAGGTACAATAAAATCAATAATTGGCATTGTTATAAAGTTGGCATAACTAAGCCAGGTGAGAGAGTAGCTAAGAGTATCTCAATAGTGTTGAAGACGCAACAATAATAATCACTCAAGGATGCTTTAAGTCGTTTATTAAGTTATTATAGACATTTTCATTAATCCATCTATGACTTTTTTGGAAAATTATACAAGAAACATACTACATATCATATAAACAAAGCACATAGTAAAACAAACCTGACATAATTGTGAGTTGTTTTAGCCGGGCAAGCAAAAAGGAGTGTACAATAAATATGACTAACACGTTTTCTCTATTACAACACCACCAGAGAAACTGTACATCCTCTCCTCACTTAACGATGAAGTACCATTCCTAAGACCACGTCGGTAAACGAATTCGTCACTAAGTGAGCAGCATACTATAATGGTAGTGCATTTGTGTCAACCATCTTTGATATTATTTTAATGACCAAACCACCTCAATGACCCCTCTTCAGCCCTCTGACTAATACTTTTATTAACTCCACACCTCCTAATTTCCACGCTCCGAATTTTCTGCATAATATTTACACCACACATTGCCCTTAGACAGGACATCTCCACTGCCAACAACCGCCTCCTCGCTGCTGCATTCACAACCCAAACTTCACACCCATATAAGAGTGTTGGTACTACTATACTTTCATACTTTCCCTTCTTTGCTTCCATAGATAACATATACCACAATGCACCACTCACCTTTTTTCCCTCATCAATTCTATGATTAACCTCATCCTTCATAAATCCATCTGCCGACACGTCAACTCCCAAGTATCTGAAAACATTCACTTCATCCATATGCCTCATCCCCAAATTTGATATCCAATTTTTCTTTATCTAAATCATTTGATACCCTCATCACCTTACTCTTTTCTACGTTCACTTTTAACTTTCTACCTTTACACACACTCCCAACCTCATCCAATAACCTTTGCAATTTTTCTTTAGAATCTCCCATAAGTACAGTATCATCAGCAAAAAGTAACTGTGTCAATTCCCATTTTGTATTTGATTCCCCATAATTTAATCCCACCCCTCTCCCGAACACCCTAGCATTTACTTCTTTTACAACCCCATCTATAAATATATTAAACAACCATGGTGACATTACACATCCCTGTCCAAGACCTACTTTTACTAGGAAGTAGTCTCCCTGTCTTCTACACGCCCTAACCTGAGCCTCACTATCTTCATAAAAACTCTTTACAGCATTTAGTAACTTACCACCTATTCCATATACTTGCAACATCTGCCACATTGCTCCCCTATCCACTCTATCACATGCCTTTTCTAAATCCATAAATGCAATAAAAACTTCCCTACCTTTATCTAAATACTGTTCACATATATGCTTCAATGTAAACACTTGATCTACACATCCCTTACCCACTCTGAAACCTTTTTCTTATTTTCAACAAAATTTGTTGATAACATCTCACCCACTCTCTCATTTGCTCTCTTTTTACATTGCTTCACCACTCTCTTAACCTCTCTCTTTTTCTCCATATACTCTTCCCTCCTTGCATCACTTCTACTTTGTAAAAACTTCTCATATGCTAACTTTTTCTCCCTTACTACTCACTTTACATCATCATTCCACCAATCGCTCCTCTTCCCTCCCGCACCCACTTTCCTGTAACCACAAACATCTGAACACTCTAACACTACATTTTTAAACCTACCCCATACCTCTTTGACCCCATTGCCTATGCTCTCATTAGCCCATCTATCCTCCAATAGTTGTTTATATCTTACCCTAACTGCCTCCTCTTTTAGTTTATAAACCTTCACCTCTCTCTTCCCTGATGTTTCTATTCTCCTTGTACCCCATCTACCTTTTACTCTCAGTGTAGCTACAACTAGAAAGTGATCTGATATATCTGTGGCCCCTCTATAAACATGTACATCCTGAAGTCTACTCAACAGTCTTTTATCTACCAATACATAATCCAACAAACTACTGTCATTTCGCCCTACATCATATCTTGTATACTTATTTATCCTCTTTTTCTTAAAATATGTATTACCTATAACTAAACCCCTTTCTATACAAAGTTCAATCAAAGGGCTCCC